ATTTTGACCCCTTGAATTTTCAGATAAACAGATTTTACTCTATTTCTCTTGATGGCAGGGAGGATGAGGCTTGCAGTGTTTTCTTTACGAGTTTTATAGTCTGTTCGCTCGGAGTGCCCCCATCCCCTGCTGGTCTTTTTCTGCTGTTATTTGTGTTACGTGGGTAGTGTAATCGCATCCAAAGTCTTCTCTCATTTTGACTCTTCGTTCCAGTCATGTATGCAATTATCGTCACTTTCGCTGTCCCAGACTTCGTAGAGGAATGCACGCATTATAGAATCCAAATTTGTAAGATGTACACAGTGCTGACCTAACTTCATTCTTCAGGTCGCCTTCAGTAAATGCTGAAAACTCAGCAATTATAGCTTTTCGTCCTTCTGTGTAATGTAGTATTTATATATGAGTTCATTTGTCGCTCATCACATCTGCATATACGTATACATATATTTGTTATGCTGATTATGTTACTGTTGTTATGATGGTTGTGTGAATATGCGTAAATCACGAATTAAATCCAATAACTACAGTCAGCGACTAGTCCATGTCGATATGGAGGAATTGTAACATGTGCCACTATTCTGTACTGTACGATGGCTATGAACTCATAACAGTACAATATTGTGATTTTGATGGATTTTCTGATTCGATGTTTGGCACCACAAGGAACAAGAAAATAGTTCTGTATACAAGAATTCCAATGCTTCGACCAAATTCGCATCGGTCATCGTTTCCGTTCATCGTCGTTTCTTTTGTGCTTATGTTTGCTCAGATGACATGTTTAGTTTTACCTCCAGTAGATGGCATCGATTTCAACACATGGCGACCTGCTCCAGACGGGCAAGGAGTGAGTATATCTTCCGGTGCCGCCGCTCATGCGCTACATAACGTGCCTTCCAACGCATCGTCAAACAAGAGCTACGCCGGCGTTCTTGTTGAGAAGGTAAGTTTGGCTGTCACCAGTAAGCTGGAGGCTGTTGTTCGGTTTCATGACGTTTTCAAGATCCTGGAGGAAGAAGGTCTGGGCCGATACGCTGATCCGTCGCTGATACACACGGCTCAGATGGAAATCGCCGAGGCATATAATTTGACGCCGGAGCAAATGGACTCTGCCGCCCTTTCGCTTCTGCGCAAAACGCATAAGTATTTCGACCACCTCGGGGGTCAAAGACCTGGTGATATTAAAGACTATAACCAGTACTCGGAAACTGCTCTTTTGAGACCTCGATCGATCGTAGAGCCTGTCGACGATCCAGATCGGATTCCCGAAGGAAGTTACCCTGTGTATATGACAGCTGTCTGACATGGCTGTACGCAGCGGACAAATAAACTTCTTTAATTACAATGGTGCTTTGTACAGTAGTTGTTACTGTTTATATATTGTTACTTTTGTTTATAATGAATTGCTTTGTGTACATCACACGTTGTTCTATCCGTGTTTAATTAATTATAAAGTAATGATAATATTTCTTGCCGTAATAATCTACTTGCTCTGGTGCTAACGGGCGTTTTGGCAATGAGTTACAGATTAGCTTCGAATATGTGGAAGTGTGTTCTAACTTTTCTCCGTTTTATTTCAATCACCCTGTTTTCTACTCTTAGTGCAGCTCGATTTGTTCTCATGTTAGCGGTTTGACTACGATCCGCTCGATTTCGCTGCTGATTTACGTCGTTGCGTTTTGATTCTGTCTTGAACACCATGTTTAGAAGCAGTAAAACTTTTCTCTTTCTTGTTTCCTGTCATCGGCCTCAGTTTTGGATCAGGCCGACATCTGAGAGACTGGTTGTTTAAAACTTCATGTGTGAATGATTAAATTTTCTGCGATTTTAAATCATTGCAAAAGGTCTGATTTCGAATGTTATAAGTCTAATACGTATATGTGTATAATTATTTGATACGTTAAATATGTTATATATTGTTTTCGCAGTTTTTCTATACCGTTCAAAGTTCGGGGTTTCGTTCCGCGTGCACTTGGGTTCCTGTTGATTTTGAAAATGTATCCTTATACAATTTTTCTTCGCAGTTCCTTGATACATTCTATAGTAATCGATATACTTTATTCGATGTATTAGAGTGACTATTATGCGGGTTGTTGCTCTGACACAATAACCGCCATTCTGCTCACATAGTCCGGAAACATTTGAACTAAATATTCTTTCCTTCGGGACTTGCGTGTTATGCAGTTCTGTCAAGAGCTTATTCTGATCCGTTGGAACAAGCGTTACAAGCCTGATTATATCAGAAGGGATATCAGTTGATACTTATTTGGGTCCAGCGGCAACTGGAGGTCAGTTATGCCATGCATCCCGATTTCTTGACTTGCACAAGCGATGTTTTGAGGCAATATGATATAATTATCTGGCTCTTTTTAAGTAGAAAATATTTTAGCAGAAATAGTTTTACAGTTGTATTTTCTACATCTGGGTAATTTCCCTTATAATAGCATTCATCATGGCTCTTTTTGTGATGAAAGTGTGTCTGTTTCAACCGAAAACAGGCAAATTTATTCCAATGCGAGGTAATTATTCATGCTCGCGTGATTCATTTATGACATATTGGTTTGTTCAGATTGACGTTCCATGCGTTTCGTCACATATTCTTCGGGCGTAGTCACTTGAGCCTCCGCGTTGTCTTATTTACGTCAGTTTCCCAGTGATGTGGTCACGTGACAAGTTGTTTGCAAGCTTAAGACTGACTTAGATACAAAGTCTTAATTTACTTTGTATTTGAACCCATATTTAGCGCAATGCTACACTGATAGCGGATCCAGATCTTGGCCAGAAACAGAAGCAAGTTGTAAATCACGCAGTTACTAGGCGTCGGTTGACTGTTATGCATCGTGTGAATTAAATATTTGCAATAATGATTTTGATTTTTCCGTCTGCTATCTGTACCCACTGGTTCTGCTTAATTACCATTGCTGCTTTATTGATAGTTTCACCGACGATTGTTGTAACGTTTAATTTATCCTATTCGAGGAGTAATTTACCAAACTAGTGGTAAATGGGAGCAGTGTACATGATTTTATTACTTCCAGAAGATTCTTCAATGAAGGGTGGGTCAATGTCAGCGTTTTATATTTCTCTCGCGATATTTTCTGCTCTAGAAACTATTTCTTTATCAAGTGGTTTAGTCTTAATTACATTTATGTGAAACTAAATGTGGCATGGCAAAACAAATTATGAATAATTGAACAAAATGGTGAAAGATGGAGTGCCTCACATTTATACAGCTATGTCCAAGACATGGCTATGCTTGAAAAATGTTTTTTTTAGACATGAACACTGAAACGTACCTAACAACGTGACGCTTGACTGCTTGAGACTGAAACAACCTTCGAGCGTGAGCTTTAAACTAACGGACGAAGGCGTCATTTTTGTTACAAAGGGCGCATCTTTGTACTTCGTCATGTCATTTGGATTCCTCTTTATTGTCATATTAAGATGCTCTTTTAATTACTTGCTTGGAGCATGAAATGCTCAAACATATGTTCTTTTGCTTAAGTTGTACCCTACACCTCATGCCTTCGCAAAGTACCATGCATGTGCCGCTCTCCATCTCCTACAGTCTCCTTGATCAGTGGCTCAGTGTGCTTGATGGCTTGAGGCTCACCGGAATGAACTACCCAACAACACAGGCCTTTCAAGAACGTATCTTATTGCTTTTCATCTGGCGCTAACGCGAGCAGAGTGAACGTATGCTGCACGCTTCTGAAATGTGACAATGACAGTCACCAGGTTAGTGCAAACTGTGGAAGAAGAGATGGACAATTATACCGGCGTCAGTATTCTTAATTGTTCTGTCAGTTAAAATCGGCCTGAATTAAAAATATTAACATGCCTTGAAGGCTTTTCGCAAACACAGAAATCGTCTGCTAGTGCCATCTTTGAACACGCAATATCGAATTACAGTGCAGACGTAAATCAGGAGGTGAAGAAATGGTTTGTTTTACATCTGGCGGACTTGACTGACAGAGTGATCTGGTCAGATTTCATCAGTCATCTCGTCGATTAGAATGGAATCAATCCGGATGGAAGGTCTCAAGGAATTGAAGTTCCAATTCGACCTAAATGATTTCCTAGGAGCTTTCAATCTTTTTTTTCGCTGTGAAATTGGCAGCAAAAGCGGTGTTTTTGCAGGCGATACGTATTATGAATATGTTACATGGCATCACGCCCTCGAGTTTCCGTTAGGTCTGCTGGCCAGGCATAGGTAGGCCAGTTGTGGTTGTAATCTCTAACCTCTGTACTGCAGCAAATTAATCGACTAAAGTTGTTTTCAACGACCCGTTGTCATCACATGCTCGAATTTTTAGCTAGCTGCCAATTATGAATGGGTTTGCCACGTGCAACCCAAAATTGAATTGCCTCTACACATGACCGTAATCTTGAAACGAACAGTAGATGTGCACTTACTCTGGATGCTGAAAGACCTGGCGTGACTTGACGAAACGTTATGGATAAAATTTTGTTGTAGGTGGCTCGTTTTCAATGTCAACCATTTATTATTTATCACAGTGGGATATCTTTGCAAGAGACGGCATCGACTCACTGTAAAGCAAATGGATTATCAGACTGTCAATTTTGTTAATTGTATCGGAAAAAATCACTTGGCCTGACTTGGAAAATAAAAGTTTCTAAGCACGTTAACTTTAAATAGATGAGTATTTTTGCTATATAGTATCTGAGCGATTGAAGTTATCGCTGTGATACGTATAGGTGGTTATCTTGATGACGTTTTATCAATTTTTCACTACGCATTAATAAGAGTTATTTTGGATTATTTAAGTGTTGTGCTCGTTCTTTGTAGTATCTCCGCTAATTTAAACAGGAAGCTCTTTCGATTGTTAGAACTGATCAAGACTGAATTGTAGTAAAACACAGAGTTGCAGTAATCAGAATTATCCTGCCAATCGAAAGAGCGTCGATTGATCTTGACAAACATGCTGATCACTATATACTTACTGTAATGCGCTCAGATTTTAATTTGGTAATTTTTGTGTTGAGACAGTTTGCATTTGGATTGAAGTCAGTTGTGACTTTCTGCTGTTTCTAATTAGGTGTTTTATGCCATCAAGGTCGTCCTCATTATGCATAACTTGTTGCTTATTTCGGTCCTATCTTGGGCAGTTGGTATGAAAGGTATCTTGTTCTTGTTTCGGTTCCAATCGAGAAACGTTTTAATAATTGCCCCATTGCACATGATTGTATTTTTGGGAATTTTCTGTATTTTGTTGCAGAGTAGTAGTAATCGCCTCATCGTAAATTTTTTAGAGACATACATACGAACGGAAGGTGTAATTTCGGTTTCACGTGTATAACCACGAATTCTCTAGTTCGCGTAATCCGAGTGAAAATTAATCATATTGAGATCGCACATCATACCTCCGAGTGTAACTAAGTTTATTTTTCCTCGCAAACCTGTAATTATTCCTTTGATCGTGTTTTAATTTGGTAGTCGCATTAGGGGGACTAACCCATCTTCGTAGGTTGATCTGTCATGAGAAGAATTTCTTTTAAGTCAGGTTAGTAGCGACGGTAGCGATAATTTGTTTGCGTGTCAGACCAGTTCTTTCGATACCGCATTGTTTCTTGAGTACTGAGGTTCATTCTGTTTTGA